ACCACTGTGAAACTGGTCCTAAAGGTTACATAGGACCATGAAGTAAATGTAAGTAAAGTCCGTCGTTTTTAAACTGACACTTTCCGTATGAGGAGCGAGGGGGTATTTCATATGGCAAAAACAGGTTTGACGTCATTGGCGTTCTAATGTAGGGAGCCAGCAGCTCAAATTCCGTTGGAGTATCAGATTAAAATCGACAGACATTATGCGCTAACAATCTGCAAAAGCTTTAACGTATAGGACCTCCAATGGATGAAATATGTTGGTTTTTGTTGACACATGCAAGCTGCGATTTTTTGAAAAAATATTAAATATTTTAAAAACGGTTGTGTTTTGGTATAGATGATTCCTAACAAAAAGTATGTAGGATTTTTAGAACGATAGAATGTACTAAAATATAGGGTGTTCCATTTAAGAATAACAAAGTACTGTCGCATACCCCATTTACAGAGCACCTTGTCTATTTAAAAATATTTTTAAGTAATGCACCTTAGGGAATCAAATACCTAACTGAATTTTTATTTATTTTTTCTTGCATCACCCTGTAAGAAGATATCGTCCGATATTGCACTGAGTGAGCACCCTGTATAACTATTTTGAGGGCATCGGGAAACATTTTTGTCCGAAGCGTGTTTTTTAAACGGCTTTCAGGTGCAAATTTGGGCGTGGCACCCCAAAAAAAATCCCGTCATCCATATTACCCCCCCCCCCCCAGAAAATCATGTATGGACCGCCACAAGCATAACTAATGATTCAACAGTCTGTCAATATTCACCTCAGAATATGTATCGTTAATAGACAAGCTGTTTCTCAAAAGTAGCGTTTTTATTGAGACGTAAGCACAGTGAAGTAGTGAAGTTTTTCGTGAAGTTGGGACGAAAAGTGAACTTAAAGACGTAAAATGAGTGACGAAGAAAGAGACGATTTTTTGTGATTCAGACGGTTTCAGCGGTGGTACTCCAACAAGAACATGCAAGAACTCAAGTATCCTAGAAACGCAGATAATACACAGGCAGAAATTGTTGATTTAAATGAGCTATTTCGGAGAATAATGCTAGAAAACAAACGTAAAGATGAAGTGATCGAAAGACTGACAAATCAGGTGATTACGACCAGTGCCAGCTGATCACCCCATAGTCCCTGAACGCTCACAAGGTTTTTCTGTGTTCCCAGAGAATTTGAGAAACATTGGGAATTTTGATGGAAACCCTTCGAAGGCAGTTTTGCGGTTGGACACATTGAATAGTGCGCAGACCCTACACCAAATTCCAGACAGCCACATGCTGGAAACACCAAGAACGGAGTTAGTAGAAGAAGCTAAATATTGGTATTTGACTAAGCTTCATGAGATTTTGACATGGAAAAATTTTGTAGACAAGTTCAATGCTACATTTTCGCCTAAAGAAAGCTTGGAAGTGAAATTTAAGAAAATGGAGAGCAGAGTTCAGGGCAAAAATGAAAGTTTAAATTCATATTTTCATGAGAAAGTAAAGTTATGTACGGGGATTTAGGTCTAGAAATAGATAACATCAAAAAGCAGGTGCTTATTGGGTTACATTCAATCAATGTGGGCAAAAAGGAATTATAGTACAGATGCATTGGTTCAAGACTTGCACAGCTACGCAAATATAGAATGTAGGTGTCAGCAGTGTTTTAGGGAAAATATGAATAATGCTCAGAAAACAAGTGAGAAGTGAGAAGCAGAACCAGGCACCACAGACATTAAGTAATGAGGCAGCTAAGACACCACGCCAAACTGGTAATACCAGAGTAGAGGGTCAACAGCACTCTTCGAGATACTTACCACCTAGAAATGAATGTTTACATACGCTAGAACTGACATTTACATAGTATCAGATATTTTTGATATGCCATTTTCGATTGGACCAACTTTCACCGAACAAGAATATATTGTGATAATACGAAAAGGCACTACTACTGAGAATCTTTGAAGAAAAGAATTAATGTAAGCGGGATGACTCTTTAAAGGATCTGAAGATAACAGAGTTGTCCAGGCCTAAATGCTACAGTGAACTTATGGGCTAAAAACTCATGCATAATGATAGTAGGTCCACCACACAGAATTATTACAGAGGTACTTCATTTACTGGTACTCCGTTCAAGAACATATGCAAAGACAAAAAAATTAAGTCATATTTTAAATGCTACATCGACTCCGTAAGCAAACGGACAAATAGAACGAGTAAATAGATACCTATTTGATTTCAGCACTAGCAAATATGTGTAGAAGTCGAGATGGTGAAGATTGGGATATGTTGGTAGAATTCAGTATGTAATTAATAATGGAGAGATATTGCAAGTGCTTGTCTTATTAAGGTAAGCCTTATTTTGACAGCTGCGCATGCGCAGTTTCCGTTTGGAATAAGAACAGCCTTATTAAGGATAAGGATCTGCCTTATTTAGGAGAAAATAAGACCTGCCTTATCTTTGTCTTATTTAAAAGTTCTTAGTCGATCGGCGATGATCGGTAGGAATCGCAAAGTGAATTTTGTTATGTTTTGTGTTTATAACCATAGATTTTAGATTCAAGACAACAAATTTTGACTTTTCTTGAATTTTTTTTCCCAAACTTTGAGAAATGGAGCAAAATCAAAACAGTATCGAGACACAGAAAAGGGGCAGACTGTTTACGTATAACGATGAACTGGTTTTGCTTAGAAAATTTGTGTAATTTTCCTGCCACTGTTCTCAGGATTGCCAGGTCGAAAAAAAATTATTCATGAGAAAATGCTGCAAAAATCATGAGATTCTCAGTAGAAATCATGAGATGACTAATTTTATCGGGAATCGACAAAAAATGCGTCTATTTTAATAATATGCATTTTTATTGGATAAAAAATCACTTTTATCTGAAAAATACAACACAAAAAAAAACATAAAATATAACAGAAAGAATAAAATAAAAACCTCAAAACACAAAAATTACCTAATAGGTATAAGTACCTACTTCCTATATTAGGCGTAACGTCATACCAGTGTCCTTATTCTTGAAACATGGGAGGGATGGGAGCAGTGTTCCCACTAGAACGAGTGTTCCATCTTTCTCAATGATATGCAAATAATAATATAAGTAACAAAGACAGAACATTCGTTCATCTCCTGGGAACGCTTCTCCCCTGTCTCAAGAATAAAGGCGCAGAAGTTACCTGTCAATTTTTTTTTTATGATACTTGTCATTAATTAACGGTTAACACATTTAACCTGTTTCTCGCTTCTGAATTATTTATATTATGTCTGTTCGCACAGAAATCACGAACCAGTCAGAGTAAATTTCATTGGTTGGAACAAGTTTTCTGACTGTTTCGACCAATGAAATTCGCTCTGACTAATTTGTAATTTCTGTGCGAACAAACCTATAAATTATAGAAAATATTCATTCTACGCAAGCGCTTAAATGTGATTATGTTAAAATATCAAACACAAAGTTTGAATTTTAAATAAAAATAATTGACTTAGGTACCAGAGTATGTGTATTGCGCCATGAGATTTTTGTTGAAAATCATGGAAAATTTGTCCAAATCATGAGATCTCATGAAAAATCATGAGACCTGGTAACCTTGACTGTTCTACGATTTTACACGTACTATATAAATATTTTGAACAAATAATTTCTTATTTTCAAAATATCTAAGCATGTATTCCACATCAGAAAGAAAACACATCAAGTTCAAAACTTAAAAAATAAACATTAACAAAAATTCAAGATTTTCAGGTTAGAAATAAGGCATCAACTAGGCAATCCTTTCTAGAAACTTGCAATATCTAAACTTGTCATTCGAAGTAAGGGAATGGCTTATCGCGTCTTAATAAGGTTTTAGCCTTATTAGGGCGACTTTGCAATATCTCTCTAATACTTTGCACAGAACTACAGAAAAAACACCTTTTGAGTTATTATTCAGCTTCAAACCAAGACATATAGATGGTGACGTCATACAAAATGAGCTAGAGAATCAAGACTCTGGTGGAAACATAGAAGATTGAAAACAAGATACATTAGAAAAGATCAGGAAAAGAAGAGAGAGAGATTATAAAGGAAGGGAAAGAAAGACAAACTACATTCCAGGAGATCTTGTCTTAGTTAGAAAACAATCAAATCCACCTACAGGCGAATCAAAGAAACTATTGGAGAAATATAAAGAATTTTATGTTATTGTGTAGAAATTGCCGAATGACAGATATCGAATAGAAGACCTTCCTGAGACGCAGCGTACTCAAAAGTTCTACAAAGGAGTAGTTGCTGTTGATTCAAACTATTTGAATGTGATGATTCCGAAGATAACTATGATGATGATGAACTAGAACAAGAAGAAAATGGAGCCGAAAAATTATTTATTTTTTTTGTACAAAATGTTTCAGATATTGGATGGAAATTTTGAAAGTGAATAAAGAAAATATTGAAAAGGAAAAAATGAAAATTTCCTTTTGATTGTTCACCTTCAAGGAACAAACTACCTAGGAATTCTTTGCAATGAGAAATTTGTGGGGAATTCATAGGAAATTAGAGGAATATATGAGAAATTGGTAGAATTTATTGGTTCATCCCTGAGCCTGATAGAAAAAGAAAAATGCATTTTTTATCACAAACAATTTTGGGGATTTTTATAGAATTTGTAACCAGGCATTTGCAGGGTATTTGCGAGCAGTTTTGATGAATTTGTGGGGGGGGGGAGGTGGTTAACCCCTTGGTATAATTGAACTTTTTTCTCTCAGTACAAAAATAAACGAGTCAACTGGGTGGTAAAGTTATAACCAATAGGTAACATTTATACTGTACGCGACGTTGGCAAATTTCACTGGTTTGCGAGTGGAGAAATTGTAAACAATCTGGCAACACTACATTTGCATACTTCAAAAAAAAAATTATTATTTCAATTTGGTTTTGAAACTTGGCAATACTGTCAGAAATAATTAGATTTTGCTACAGGAAACTAAAAATGATATAAAAAAATTGATCAAAGTATGGCTAAAATGCTACTTACCACCCTACCATGATGACCCACCAAAATCAACCCGCGAAACTAAACGGAGCACTTTGCACTATAGAATTTTTGCACTTTGGTCCGAGAGAATCAGCGTGAAAAAAATCATCTGAAAAGAAAAGAGTATAATTTTAGAATTTTCAAAAAACACTTTGAACTTTGAAGAAACGGAGACGGAGAGACATTTTAATGATGATTTTTATTGAGTTTATATCGAACAATTACAGAAATTTGTAAATGCTATAAAATCCCTTACAATTTTTGTAAAATTAAATAACAATGGTCAAAAGTCCTGCGCAAACCGACCCCCGGGGGACACCGATATGTAACATTAGCTGCGCATAGTTACCCCCCTCCTCTCTACTAAATAGTCAATATATTGCAAGATCCATATAGCTGGAGAATGTTGAATCCCTGGGGATTTGTATTTGGTAAAATCGAAAAATGAGTTGCAGATAAAAAAATCTGTAAATTGTTCTGGTCAAATTATTTTGATTTAATAATTAATTGGTAATAATTGTTTTCTGGCTTATTAAGATCAGGCGTCGTAAATTCTCAAATTAATTAATTTTTTAAAAAAATATATACTATATATAAGTACTTACTATCAGCGGCGTCCTGATGATGATTTTTTTTTTCTAAAGTTCTTTTTTTTTAGTAAATTGGTACCCCGCACTGACCGACGCCGCAGACACACGGCGTCCTAATGGGAGCGTCGCGACGCTCGGTTCTCCAAAAACATTCCAGCGCCGTCTCCAAGATTAGCCCTCAATTGGTGCCCTGCTCCCGATAGCAACAGTCAGCAAAAAGTGCTCCGGGCCAATCGCACAGCGCTATGGGTGGAGTTTTGGGAGAAACTGGGAGAAAAGGGAGGTAAGTTTCAATTTTGGTTTTGTATAGTACAGCAAAAAATATTTGATAGTATGTTCTAAGGACAGCCATTTTGAACGCAGTTGTTTTTGTTTGAATCGTCCTGAAAATGAGGATCGTGTCTGTGTCTTGTTAGTAGGTGAGGTATATTTTGTGTCACCCTGTATATTCAGTTATAGCGATTTTTAGGCTAATTTTTAAGTTGGTGGACAAACTGTGCATGTTCTCCTATCGATAACTGAATGTGTTTATAATGGTTTTTATGTGAGATAAACAAAATAAAGAATTGTTTACTTTACACATGGGTTTGTATTATATTACTTTTTCTTTCAAGATGAAAAAAAATGTATTGCTTTTTTAATTAAATATTTTGGGAATCGATAATTAATAGGTACGTTCTTTTATTTTCTTAGTCCATTTTTTTATAATAATAAAAAGGTTTTCATAGGTGACTTCTTAGTCTAACAGTTTTTGAAATGGAGAGATTTTCTAGCAAAATTTCATTTTTTAAGGTTCAACAAATATTTTAGTGCAAGCTGCGATGCCTTTTTGTTTTTGTCCCTCCACTGGCATCAGATCACTATACATTTTTCTCAAAAATTATAAATCTTCTTATCTTCGTCTTAATAAAGGCCTTGACCGTTGAAGCAAAAAAAGCTTCATAGAAAAAAATCCGATTTTGGAAATCTACCAGATTTAGAGAAAAGACAAAAAGACATTGTACTCTAAATACTTATAAGAATACTGAAGCCTAGCTTTTTCGTAGCTTTATAAATTTTTTTTTTTTTTTTGAAAACAGCATTAATTTCTGAAAAAGTTTACAATTCAATTTTACATAAATAACTCTAAACAGTGCATATAGCTCTGGCCTCGAGACTTGTAGAATATTCAACAAATCAGTGCCATTCAAAGCACATAATAAAAATATGTTATTAGTTCTATTTATAATATAGCTTATATCTTTTTAGCATATTTCAAAAAATAATAATTCTAAGCAGTTTGTAGGTCCATTCGGAAATAAATTTTTGTCTTCAAGTCTTGTAATAAAGGGGAACACACTATTTTTGTTCTAAGACTAGGAGCATACAGCATACACAATCATTCTTAATTTTTATTATTGGAATTTCACTAATTTTTCAAATAGGTACTTGATACTTTTGATATGGCCTTTAAGATAGAGAGGGCACGTGTAATCGTGTTGCATCGTGATATCGGGTCTATGTCAATTCGTCGTATGCGTCAATTCGTCGTTTTGTTAATTCATCGTATACGTCAATTCCTCATATTTCAGGTATAATGTAAAAATTTATAAACTAACCCTTTTTCGTTTAATCAGACATTACATACCAAACTTACCAAGAATAACCCGGTTAGTTTGCAATTTTAATTAGACATAACATTGTAAACTAACCCATACTAACCGGGTTATTATCGGAAGGTTTGATGTAATTTGTTTAGTGACTCTATGATTTTATCTAGTGCTTGATATATGGCCTTGACAGTTGATTTTTCCCTTCTGAAGACATTCTGTCTGTTGGATAATATATTTTGATTTTCTATGAAGCCTACTAGCTTGCTGTGTATGACTTTCATAAATTTTGCTAATATTTGATAATAGTGATATTGGTCTGTAGCTTTTAATTTAATTCCTTTCAACCTTTTTGAAAATTGGTTTAACTATTGTGATTTTTAATAGAGATGGAAATACCTATATCGGGTCTTCAAAAAAAAAAAAAAAACAATCAAAGATTGCTATGGTTTTTTAAACGTATGTCTTAGCAATATTTTTCTTTATGCACTTCAGGGATTGAAAGTACCATTTCAATCCCTGTTTTAAGGGAGTAAAGTGAGTCTTCTAATCCCGGGGATTAAATTTTTACTTTATTTCCCGGGGATTGAAAGTACCCTTTTATTCCCAGTTTTATTTAATCCCCGGGAAATAAAGTAAAGTGCATAAAATAGTGTATACACCTCAAGACTAAAGTGTTTTTCAATCCCTCGACAAATTATAGATGAACTTTTTGTCTCGGGATCAAAAGTACCACTTTAGTTCCTAGGTGTATAATGTACTATTAATTTTGTCAATGAACTTTAATGTCAAAATGTCATATCAAAGTGTGGGAAAGTGGCTGTGCCAGTAGATCTGTCGTTTCTTTTAGATAGCAGATTGGTATTTCATCATAACCGCTTGACTTTTTAATTTTAAGATTTTTTATTATTTGTGTAATCTTCTCTCCTGTGGAGTTACTTCCCCAAGCACTATACTTTCTTTGCAACGAATGGTTTTTTGTTGTCATTTATGTCTGTGCATTTTGTTAGGAAAAAGTCGTTAATTTTGTTCAATAGCTGTTTTTTATCGTTGTAATCTAAGTCATCCAACACAGGATTTTTTTTATTTATTTTTTTAGTTATTCTGCTTATTACAGTCCAAGTTGCTTTTTGTTTTATTATGTGCTTTTTGTATAATTGTTTATAATTTTTGCCATTCCTGTTATTTTCTTCAAGATATTTGAATATTTTTTGTAATACTGTTCAAATAGAGTTCATATATTTTTATATTTTTCTTTTATTTTTTGATGAAATTCTTATACCTTTTGTTATCGAATGATCCTTGTTTGATGGCCTTATCCTTCTTGCTCTCACCGGAAACATGGAAACATCACATTCAGGATTTGGACAAGTCTGCTTTGTAGTAGGGCGTATGCCTTTTCTGCATTATTTTCCTCCATCACAATCTACCATAAAATATCTTCTATTACTGCCCTGAGCTGTTTTATTTCTCACTTTGTGAAACTTCTTCCTGTAAAGGTTTTTTGAGAATTATTTGATTTTATCTGTGATTTAATTAAAGATATTTTTTGCTCATGGTGTTCAGTGCTATGATCACCACTTGGTTATTAGTAAACTTCTCAGTGTTCATAAAAAAGTTGTCAATGCACGACAATTCAACTTTATTGGGCCTAGTTATTTCAAATATTATTTTTTTAAAATTGTAGCTATTAAAAATGTTTAAAACTTTGTCTCTTTGTTCCTTTTTTTTTTCTACTCAATGCCCCTTCCTCCAAAATAAAATTGACATTAAAATCTCTACCCTATTACAGTATAATCTCTAAATATTTGTCTATTTAATATTTCTAGTACCTATATCATGGAAAACTTTAAAAGCACCTAGACACAATCTATATAGACAAAGTACTAACAGTTTCTGTGATTTGTTTATTACTGCACACTAGTGCAAACATCTCAAAGTTTCCATCTATCGTCATAGATTCTCAATTCTTTGAATTCTGATTTTTCTCCGGTAAAGATACATACGTCTCCTCTATTCATATGTTCACGAGAATAACAAGTTGTCAGATTGTATCCCATTAATTTTACAAATTGTTCTTCCCCTGGCTTCATCCAGTGTTCTGATAAACATACTATTTGGTACTTAGTGTCTGATGTCTCCAATAGAATTTCAAGATTTTGCAATGATGTTGTTACTCTTTGTATATTTTGGTGAAATATGTTAATCCCACTTTCATTTTGATGTTTTTGTTGAAGTTTCTGTGGTTGTTTTGTAGATATTTTTATTTGTTATCTTCAGTGCCTTATCTGCCTTGCCTTCCAAAAATTTTTATTTGGAATCGATGTTATTATTTGTTTCATTGTTGTACCCATTGTTTGTGTTTTGTTTTGAGGAATATTTTTTCCTGTGTATGTTGGTGTTATTGTTATATTTTGTAATATGTTAATGTCTTTGTGGTGCTTTTTTCGTTAGCACTTGAAGCCTTCTTTTCACTTCTTTGTTAAAATTATGATGTTTTATGTTTATATATTTATTGCACATTTTCTCCATGAGAATAAATTTCCAATCAAATCTTCCTGTATAATTGCAATCCTGTATGTTATTTGGATTCGCAAAATCTATATATTTAAGTTTGAAAAGTAGAGTTTTGTTTGATCGTTTTAGTTTTGTATCATTTTATTTAGTGCGGACTAATAACACGTTGGCTACCACATGAGTCACCATTGATTTATGAAGTCCATCCAGTTGCTTTTATAACGGCAGGGATGTTTGACCCAATTTATCACCAAAACGAGCTAGTCGACGTTACTTTACGACAAATTGACTTTACGATGAATTGACTTATACGACGAATTCACGAATACGATGAATTAACTTTACGACGAATAAGCGTACGAAGAATTGACGTATACGACAGAATTATTTACGATGAATTGACGGAGACCCCGTGATATCACGAGACGAAAATACGCTCTTTACCATTTTGTATCGAAAGTTTGATAGAAAATGAGTCGTCTCGACGAGAGACCCTCGATACGATACACGAGGTATCTGCTCGTTACTCGTCACGTTTTCTCTCGTCTCTCGTCGCTTTTGACGCATGATAAGTTAATTTCGACTCCCAGATCAAAAAATTGCAAAAATGTATGCTTGCTCCTAATCTAAAATATGTATAATGTTATAAAACCCATTTCATCTAAGGCTCTGGAAAATATTGAATATTTACGTACTTTTTTTCAAGGGCGGTTTAAAGGGGGGGGTAGAGGGGGTAATTACCTCCCCCCAAACAAAGATTTTTTTTTATACATTTATTAATTACAACAATATTTCAACAAAAGACAAAAGACAAGTTTTACAAAGTAAAGGATTAAAGCTATCGTATGAATATGATAGGCTCACCAGTACCGACGTACCATCGTCACCAAAAGTAACTGGGACAGCATCACATTAGCTCTTGTCCTATTATATGAATTTTATTGTCAAATATTCGTCAAACTATGCATTAAATGCATTGGAATGAATGACAGTAGAATTAGTCCAGGAGATTATTATGCATTATTTGTGTCCCAGATACTTTTGGTGACGATGGTACCTACCAAGGTTCTTAAAGTTCATAGGTTATCTGGTAACGGGTAACTTGATGCACCCCAGATGACGTCATGAAGTTATCAGGCAACCTACCTCTCTCAAACAACC